GTCCTCTAGGGTAGCGCAGCACAACCCTATGCAATGAACCCAAATCGTGAAGACACTTGTCAACAATGCAAGCCCAGAAGAATATCAACCTGCTGATGATTGTACATAATCATAATCGTGTCCAGATACAATGAGATGGGAAACATACACCACAGACGAAGGAGAGAGGAGGGAGAATAGACTTAGAGGGAGAATAAAAGACAATGCCCACTTCTGCCTCGGGCTCCCTCCTCGATCACCACCTCAATAATCAGTAATCTGAACACGCAGCTGACGTTCTATGACAATGTGCCACGTGGCACGTCATCAGTCCTCATCAGCGAGCTGGAGCCATGTCGACCTCAAGATAACCAGGTATGTATCCACTATCGCCCCACAGTCATGATCTCCTTCCGAATGTCGTCGAAACAGAACAGCAATGCCAGTCGCGTAGCCTCGCCACGTCAACAATAATAATATACGTGGCAGCGGCCACGTAAGCGGCGGCGCATGGCAGCTGCCACGTCAGCATGCCCAAAAGACAATTGCACGCCAGCCACCATGTCGAGCCAGCAGAGCGTTGCCGTAGTTCGTCCAGTGGCCAGCGTAGAGTCAGCGTCCAGCTAGCGTCGCAGCGTTGCGCTAGCGTCGTCGTCAACGCGTGAAGTCAGCATTGACGCAAGACAGAATGTCCCTCAAAGCCAAGAGGTCAACGCTTATATAGCGTTGACGTGGGGTCTGGACCCCAGGTGCTGCTTCCCTCAGCCTTCAAGATCTCAATGCAAATGATGGCCCAGATTGGCCTGAAACCGAATTCCCTGTGGCCTTGATGTTGTCTGGGTACCTGCGCACAACAAGTATGTGTATCCGACCGAGGGCCTGGGCGCGACCCTTGACTTTCTAGGGGGCAGTGCGTGGTCGCATTGCCTGGTGCAGGTCGTGTTCGGCCTGTGTCGTCTGGGCGCAGTTTTGGGGCCCCAGACTGCTGCAGAACACAGGTTACTGCATTCCTGTCGATCCATTTTCGAGTTCCATCGTAGAAATAATTAAGACCTTAACCCACGTTCATAAGCAGACACAATGTCAGGAGCAGTTTCAAGTAATTCTCTTTTACTAAACCATTTGTCATTAGACGGAAACTGAGATTTAAAACGTACCTTGAAGTGCTTCTGTGGTCGTCCGCATCCTCCTATAGAAAATAATCCATGTTCTACGACCCGATCTACTTCATACCTCCCTTCCATTGATGGCGGGATCATAGATGGTCTGTTTGGGAACTCTTTGCCTTCTACATAGGGTAATAGTTTGGATGCGTGAAAGACAGGATACGTTTTGGGGTGAGGAGGAATATCAATACGATAAGACGGTCCCTCCGAATCCCCAATCACTTTGAGAACTTCCCAGGGTCCAAAATAGACAGGCAGTAGTTTTTGAGACATATCTTCTTCCAATGAAAACTCTTTGGACTTGACCCAGGCTAGATCACCTTCCTTGAATGTAGATGGGCGGTCGGCGATGCTTGTTAGCTTGGTCAATCATTTGAGTCTGAGCTTTCTTCAGATTCTCCTTTACTTTCTTGATGTCTTCTTGAAACAATACTTTATATTCCCGGGTCCCTGGAGGTAACCTAAGAAACTGGTATCGTGTCAACACATCAACGGGACACTTACGTTTCCACCCTTTATGCAGTGCATTAGGCGTATGCCATATAGCAGTATGAACACCACTGTTATATGCACTTACGATCTTGGGTAAGTTCTCATCCCAATCAATCTAATCGGGTCTCACATACATGCGCAAAAGTTGTTAGCACAGACAGTTCATCTGTTCAGTCTGGCCATTCGTTTCAGGATGTCGTCCTGACGACATGGTCAGTCGTGTGCCATATGCTTCCATAAGCTCTTGCCATGGCATACTTGTAAACCTGACATCGCGATCAGACACAATAGACTCAGGAAATCCATACTCCGTCACCCATCGCATCCGAAACTTTTGGATGACAAGTTCAGTTTTCGCTTCCGCAAGTAAGGGAATAAACATGGCGTATTTAGAGAAACAATCCACAATAACCATTACTTGACTGTTGCCATTGCGGCTGTTGGTGAGACTCATAAAATCAATCGAAATGGACTCACCTGGTTCACTAGGAATTGGTAATGGTTTCAGAAACCAAGTGGATTCTCATGCGAAGGTTTGTTTCTCTGGCACACCAAGCATGTACGAACATAAGTTAGTACGTCCTCTTCAATCCCTTTCAATCAAAGCGTTCCCTAACCTCAGCGTAAGTTTTCTTGAAACCAAAATGTCCCTCAGTGTCGATACATTCCCCAATCAGCAGACTTCTGATTTCTTTCTTGTGGGGAATACACAATCTCTGTTCAGTTTGGTTTAGCAAGAAAAACAAACCATCGGTTACTCTATAGTTGGGAAGTAAAATTGGTTCTTTCGCAAGGACATCCATGATAGGCTTCCAGATAGCGTCAGTAGCATATCCTTGACGAATTTTATCTTTCAAATTATTCCCAACATCTAAGTAAGAGACAATCGTATCACATAAATCACATTGTCAGGACAACGCAGCTGCAACCACATTAGACTTACCTTTGATAATTTTCAACTCAAAATCAAAAGTATCAATGAATGCAGACCATCGTACTAGCTTATCAGAGAGTTTATGCTGTGTCTTTATCCACTTCAGTGTCGAGTGGTCTGAGTACACAGTGAAGTTTCTCCCTAACAACTAGTGCTTCCATGTGTCCAACGCACAGACTAAGACATACAATTCCTTTTTATAAGTGGAGTTGACAACCTTTTCCGATGGTAATCGTGCAGACGTAAACTCAATGGGTCTATAACCCTTGCCATCGTTCTGTTGGAGGACTGCGCCAATCCCGTATTGACTTGCATCAGTAGTGACAATGAAGGGAAGTGACGGAAGCGTAATTTTTAGAACAGAATAGTGAGTCAAAGCATACTTTACCTTCTTGAAGGAAGACTCACAGTCCTTGTTCCACAACCAAATAGTGCCTTTTTTTAACAATCTTCTCACTGAAGCGGCAATCAGTGAGAAGTTCCTAACGAACTTTCTATAGTAGCTTGCCAAACCAAGGAAAGATCGTAGTTTGGCTACAGACTTAGATCGTGGCCAATCTCGAATTGCTGATATTTTCTTTTCTTCTGGCCTTAGGCCATCTTCGTTTACTTTCATCTTCGTTCACTATATGTCCCAAGTATAAGACTTCAGACTTAGCGAACTTTTTTTT